GTCAGAATTCGGCTAAAAAATCACGCTCAGGAGTCAAATTTCCGACATTTCAGACATTTTGAAAATATATTTATAATATTATATGTATGTATATATCACCCAGGGGTGCGTCGTGAGTATACTCCCCACAAACGCCACCTTAAGAACCGTGAGTCCGTCGAGAGCGAGTTCAGTGACGAAAGGAGGATTGACAATAAAAGCATTCCCTCGCTCGAGACGTTGGTACTACAGTTCCACGGGTGCAAGAGTATGCCTCCTCAAACACCCGCAGGAAATACAGGCAGGAAATGACAATTTGATAGGAGAAGAGGGGAGAGAACAGTGAAACACGAGGAAAAGAAAAAGGTGTCTGGCAAAATAGGTAAAGGCAGCAGCAGGAGCATAAGGCCACAAAAGGACAGGACTGACCCATGGAGCATCACACTCCGGCAGCTGCCCACCAAGCCTCCTCACGGCGACAACGGACCACCTGAAGGGCAAAATTTCACACAAATACCCCTTCACTGTATTTGTGTAAAATTTTGCCCTCCAGGTGGCCCACAGCAATCCTAGAAGGCACCAACTGTATATCAACTTTGTAGATCCTCCTACTACTTTTCTTCTTTGTGCGTCTGACAGATGCTTGCATCTCTTTATCACTGCATTCTCCGTGAGTTCCACTAACTAGGTAGTGTTATTATCAATACCTATTGCACGTCGTTTTTTTTTTTCAATTTGTATAAAATCCATTTCTTAACATATTGGGATGAAATTTTCACGACGCTGATGCCAAGTGATGTGAGATTTGTTTAACAGTTTTCACTATATTTCATATTTGGACGAATATCTTTGAGCTCCCAGACCCTTAAAGACTGGCGCCCAGTCAATCCTCCCCGGGCAGCATATGAACCCAGGTCAGATCGCTCGCGAGACCCGGGGCGAAATGTATAAGTTTACCACTTCGTCACAGGGAATTAGTCCCTAGGTTTCAAAATGGCGCTCTTTTCCAACTTTACACGTGTAATTTAAATCTTTTTGTGCCTTTGAAAAGGTATAGGGTGTTAGTGTAAGTACTTCGTACACTCCCAGGTCTCTCATTTGTTTTCATAATTTACAGTAGTTTTCCTCATTATGGAACTTCTGGTATCCTCTTGGTACATTATTTTTATAATTGCATTTGGCATCCGGTCCCATCTTCCTTATTTGATATAAATAAAAGTGTTGGATTGAACTTGTGTAGCAAAGTATCAGACACAACTTGTTAAGGCTACGTTGAGGTTATCTTGCATTGATGCCAAGATTAAGGTCCCCGCGTCCCGGTCACTGACCAGGGCTGCCGGTTGCCCTGATCCACCAGGCTGTTAGACAAAGGTGCTCGTATATGAATCACATTTCGGTGTCCTATAGTATCTTTTCATTTTCTTCAAATATCCCTTATTCAACATGTGAGATTTCGAAGTGCCAATGCAAGACCAAAATAAGAGACGGCAAGCAATGTTAAAGGCCTCGAATTTGTCAAAGATTCTACCCAAGGACACAATGTAGTATATAGTACTGGAATGAGAAAATCAGTCTGAACTGTGAGGAGGATTCGAACCTATGCTTTGGGTACTCCCACCAGCCCGTCCTCCAAACAAAGATCCAAAAGTGATTCCATCCACCCGCCAAACCCCCTGTTTATGAATGAAAAGCGGTTTACACACGACTCACAACTGCTGACGTTCGAACATATCCGGAATAAGTGCTTCACTGACGAATTTTGTTCGAATCACAACGCTATAAATGCTTCACCCACGTACTACAAATACAAATAATCGCCAACAGAACCTAAACACCTAACCTAACCTATCCTATGCCTATATATGCACAATATGCTAATATATTATAATATTAATTTATACTTGCGAAAATTCCCGTTTTGAATGAAAAGCATGTTAAAATTTATGAATGCGTCTGTGGGGTTGACCGCTGAACGTAATGGACTTGAGTCGAGGACGGGTTAACTCCCACAGCCCAGCCCGTCCTCCAAACAAAGACCCAAAAGTGATTCCATGCACCCGACAAACCCCCTGTTTATGCAACCCGTCCTCGACTCAAGTCCATTACATCCAGCGGTCAACCCCACAGACGCATTCATAAATTTTAACATGCTTTTCATTCAAAACGGGAATTTTCGCAAGTATAAATTAATATTATAATATGTTAGCATATTGTGCATATATAGGCATAGGTTAGGTTAGGTGTTTAGGCTCTGTTGGCGATTATTTGTATTTGTAGTACGTGGGTGAAGCATTTATAGCGTTGATTCGAACAAAATTCGTCAGTGAAGCACTTGTTCCGGATTATGTTCGAACGTCAGCAGTTGTGAGTCGTGTGTAAACCGCTTTTCATTCATAAACAGGGGGTTTGGCGGGTGCATGGAATCACTTTTAGGTCTTTGTTTGGAGGACGGGCTGGAATCACAACTGATGACACGTTCGAACACTTCCGGAACACGTACTTCACTGGCAATTTTTATTCGAACCACAACGCTGTAAATGCTTCACCCATGTACAACAAGTACGAATCATCGCCAAGAGAACCTAAACACCTAATCTAACCAATGTCTAAATATACAGTGTGCTAATACTGTATATAATATTAATTTATATTTGAGAAAATCCTGTTTTGAATAAACAGCATGTTAAAATTGATGAATGCGTCCTTTGGGGGTCGACCGCTGGATGGAATGGACTTGGTCTGAGGAAGGGTTGCACCCATGTACTACAAAATACAAATAATCGCCAACAGAACCTAAACATCTAACCTAACCAATGTCTAAATATGCACAATATACAAATATATTGATTTAGATTTGAGAATTCCTATTTTGAATGAACAAGAAGTTAAAATTGATGAATGTCTCTTTAGGGTCGGCCAATGGATGGAATGAACTTGGTTTGAGGATGGGTTGCCTCCCAAGCAATCGCCTTAAGACTTCCTCACAGCTCCTACTAATTTTCATATTGATACATCATATAAATATGATTTTGTTGTGCAGTGTAGTACTGTAATAATTCCTCAAAATTATCAAGTGCTCGATTAGTTGGGCGTTTCATGCTGTTGGTACAAAGTCATTGAGATGTACTGTAGGGCTCGGAGCAGATCCTGGGACTAGACCCCAGTCAAATACATTCATTAAAACCTTGTTAATTATAGCAATGCAGTATTTTGCCGTTGCCCCTTTATTCACTTACATGGTTGAATACTTCAGGTATAGGGAGCTGGTCGGCCGAGCGGACAGCATGCTGGACTTATGATCCTGTGGTCCTGGGTTCGATCCCAGGCGCCGGCGAGAAACAATAGGCAGAGTTTCTTTCACCCTATGCCCCTGTTACCTAGCAGTAAAATAGGTACCTGGGTGTTAGTCAGCTGTCACGGGCTGCTTCCTGGGGGTGGAGGCCTGGTCGAGGACCGGGCCGCGGGGACACTAAAAGCCCCGAAATCATCTCAAGATAACCTCAAGATGTTCACTTACCCACATACAGGAGGGGGGGGGGGGGCCGAAACACCAACTTTAGTCATCAAAATAAGCCCCCAATAAAACCCGGAAGTTTATATATTGGCACAAAGTTCCTAATATATAATTCAGGACATATAGTAAAGATAAAAAAAAAAGAAGTTATGGCAAAATTTGATTTTGTTTACCAAGGACGTGACCGAAACACACAACTCAATAGAGGGAAGCAAAATATCTTGTCTGTTTGAAAATTAGGACATTCAACAAAGTATGTGACTGCAGAAAAATCAGCCCATCCTCCAAAAAAATGGGGAGGTAAATGTAACAGCACAAGTGCAATTATGTACTATTCATAGCAGTCAGGAATTGTACTTATTTTCACTTAGTATTGAGTTTACCTGAAAAGCTGAATAGAAAACCTACAACCTAACCTAACCTTCTTAATGTTTGAAAATAAGTATTTTATTGCTTCTAAATTACAATTACTTAAACTAATGTCAATATAGCTATAGGTTAATAAAACTAATAAAACAAAACTAATATATATAAATAAATTGTAAAGTAACTCAGGATATTTTTAAATTTTGTATAAAATCTATTGTTTAATAAAACTGGAAAAGGAATTCCTAGTTTAAAACTTGTGTATAGTGAATTGAACTTGAAAACTTCATCCTAACATTCCGAGTGTCTTAACAGAAAACGAGAATAAATGGGGAGGTAAATGTAACTGCCATATAAGTGCAATTATGTACTATGTACAACAGTAAGGAAATGTACTTATTACAATTAGTACTAAACCGTACTGTCAATTCGGAGGATGGGTTGAGAAAAATGCAGTTCCGAGACCAAGGTAAAGGTCTCAAGTGTAGTAAACGTGAGGGTGTTAATCTTGAGGGTAGCACAGGCAGAGCGGGTTCCCAATTTTTCAGTGGAAGGCCACAGAGATAATTTACATGTAACATGCGCTTTGAAGTAGCAAGGCATATATCTCCAGCTGCACATTATAAGCAACAGGATTGAAGTAGCAAGGCATATATCTCCAGCTGCACATTATAAGGAACAGGATTGAAGTAGCAAGGCATATATCTCCAGCTGCACATTATAAGGAACAGGAGTGAAATAGCAAGGCATATATCTCCAGCTGCACATTATAAGCAACAGGATTGAAGTAGCAAGGCATATATCTCCAGCTGCACATTATAAGCAACAGGATTGAAGTAGCAAGGCATATATCTCCAGCTGCACATTATAAGCAACAGGATTGAAGTAGCAAGGCATATATCTCCAGCTGCACATTATAAGGAACAGGAGTGAAATAGCAAGGCATATATCTCCAGCTGCACATTATAAGCAACAGGAGTGAAATTACAATAAGGAATTCATATGCAGGAGATGGTTCTGGTGCCAATAGTGTCTTCTGTGGCAGCCACGTGTCCTCGGGAATATCCACCTGGATGTAATGGACTTCATAATCAGTCTTACGAACAGCAGCAATCATAAGGCAAATTAAACTCTTCTAACGTCAGTTTTTCAGATCTTCTTTATTGAAAAAGGCCCTATTTATCTTACTTATGAAGTGAAAACACTAGCCTACATGAATCTGAAACTCAGCCATGGCTATGAAAACTGGAGTGATGACAATTATAATAGAATCGAACAGATAACTGGAATCCCCTGGGTAGTGACAACGCCAGAAACCAGGGCCCTCATACACCAACCAAACACCCCTAATATGTCTCCATAAAAAAAATATATACTATACATATTTTAAAAAATCCCATGTGACACTTTTCATAACCTTGAACAATTTTTATAATACTTCGTAAATAAAACTTTTACACTGCAGCCTATTTCAATACCATTTTTCATGAAACATTTAACAGAGGATAGTTAAGATGCCATAACTTTAGGTTACATTGCATCCAATGAAGACTTTGTACATAACTCAAAATATAATTTAATAAATGCTTACACCTGATAAATTGTCTGTGATCCACTAGCATTTATCAGGCAAGAAGTGTGGATGATTTTATCGTCACTGATGACAAACCATATATAGGAGGGGAGCCCGGTTCCTGGATAAGCCTCACCGCAGTCTCACGCAGACATCTGCCTGCACGAGATGCTTCATCCCAATCACATAGATATCGGTTTGACAGCACACTGGTCAGTTTGTGCGATTCTGCCCACCCTTGTGCTGAACAAAGGTTGAAACAAACAACATATCACATGAAGAACAAATGATCAGTGCAGGGAAAGTACCTTGGTTTGTTGCATTACCATCGTGTCACTATTACTCTAATGAAACTAGACCATGCGTGACCCATAGAGGCAGCCAAGAGACAGAGATAGCAAGGCGTGTGCAGGGCACGTTGCTCACTGTCCCAAGACACCCTACAACTATGTAACAATACAGATTAATGGTGAAGAAAAGATATTCCCTTGCACCGTAATGGACAACAAATGACAACAGAAATAAATTAGGGATGTGGTCATGTAATACCATAACTGTCATTCACTAGAGTTCACTGTCAAAGGTTGCCTATTGTTGCCAAGAGTCAGGCTACCTTCTTGCTGTCTCAGATTTCTGTGAAAGATTCTTTTTTCTTCCAGCGTCTGAAACTCTCCATACAACTCTTCTCGTCCGAATGGCCAACACTGCTACAGGGCGACCATCATGGCTGCTTGTGCTACGGTCAAGGGTCGGCCGAAGACCAACAGTACCCCTCACTCACTGGTCACATCACAGAGAGCTTCCTTATCCTAATGTGACTAGGAACCCCAGGTGCAGCATGGCCCAGCTGCGGCCGAGGCACAACACTATAGGTGGGCAGGCCATAGCTAGGCTGAACACACTTGAGTCACTGTCACAGGGTCCTTTAGTCCCACTTTCCACCAGCAGCAGCACTGTCCCATCAGCAGTGCTGGCAGAGGCTGGTGGGGGCTGATGACAGGGAGGCTGGCCAGGCGCCCACCCATCAGCTCTTCCATTTAGAGTGGGACTGCTGGCTGTGCAGACCACCTGATGGTATCATATCCAATAGGTACTGACGATGAACCTCTGCCGCTTGCCGCATTATCTCTTGTTGCTGTTGTTGAGCTAAGCTTTTGCTGCTGTTACTGCTGCTGCTGTTACTACTGCTGGAAGTTGAGGGAGCTGAGGAAGTTGGGACTCCTAGCTGAGCTGCTGAAGCAGCCATCAATTGTTGCAGCTGACCAAGGCCAAATGGATTGTATGGTCCAAGTAAATAAGGGGCTAGCATATGAGCAGGTAACTGTTGGGAAGCAGCTGCTGCTGCAGCTGCAGCAGCTGCCGCACTACCTAAACCCTGCATTCTTAGCATCTGTTGCTGAGCTGCCTGTAATTGTTGCAGCGCTGCAGGGTTCGACATGGCAGCAGCCATTGCTGCTGCAGCAGTCATGCTCTGCATGTATTGTTCTTTTTGCTGTTTCGTTAGACCTGGAGGCAAAAACATTTCCTTTTCCCTTTGTTCCCTGTCACGTTGCTCTCTCTCCCTCTGTTCCTTCTCACGTTGATGCCTTTCTTTCTCACGTTCCCTTTCCCTTTCCCTCTCCCTCTCACGCTCACGTTCCCTCTCACGCTCACGTTCTCTTTCCCTCTCCTTTTCTCGTTCTCTTTCTCGCTCCCTCTCTCTTTCCTTCTCTCTCTCCCTTTCCTTTTGTCTCTCTCGCTCACGCTGCAGCTGAAGCTGCGCTGCCACTGACGGTGATGAGCGGTGGCTAGAGCTCCTTGAGCCATGTCCATAATCAGACTTGACTGCAGTAACCGACACACTAGCAGGGAGTCGTGCCGATGGCGATGGTATCGATGCGGTGACGGGAGTCATAGATACTGATGCACTGGATAAATCGGGCTGTGGCGATGCCTGCAGGATAACAAAAATAAATAAATTTTGTGATAAACAAAACCACATCTGTTTGAAAGTAAACAATAAAGCAAGCTAAACTTATTCAAAACAATCAAAATTAATATACTTAAGCATTTCTATAAGCATCTTTAGCACAATTAAAACAATGGTTACTTAAGAAAATTGGAAAATATAGAATATAATACAAATGGGAGAAGGGTGTGGGTGGAGGGTGTGGGGGGGGGGGAGAAGGTGCTCACAGGTGTACAGAAGAAAACAGTTATGCAAATGACAAAGGAGGAATAGTGCAAGCAGGTGAATAAATACAGTAGATGGGCATGAAACAAACAAAAAAAAAAGAGTGACAAGAAGTAAAGTAAGAAATAAGTAAAATTAAGTAATGGAATAAAACAAGACAAAGACAAACAGTATAGAAACAACTCTGAAAAAGATAAGGATATTAAGAATAAGGGAAAGATACAAAAATTAAAATAAGGATAAAGTGGATGAGAAAGAAGAAGCATTAGGAAAATATCATTCAGATTAGTAATAAAGTAATAAAATAATAAAATTAAAATAATAAAAAGGGAATAGGATTAAAAATACAAATGATGGATAAACACAAGCAAAAAAGGAGGAATAATTAACAGATGGGGAGACGACGACACAAGTTAGCACATCAAGGACAGAAATTAAGACGACATTGACAAGCCAAATGGGGGGAGAAATTTGAACATGTTAAAGATGAACTACATGAACAAAGAAGAAAACCTAAAGGAATGGGTAGATGGGTAGATCTGTGTACCTCGCAGATGGGAGGTACGTAGTGGCGAGGTACGTAGAGGTGAGGTGAGGTACATAGAGAGGAGGGGAGGTATGTAGAGGGGAGATATGTAGATGGGAGTTACGCAGATAGGTGGTATGCAGATGAAGACAAGAGACAGATAGGTCCATCCAAGAGGTTATTCTGTAACAAATCATCCGTTTTCACACAGTCCCTGTTATGTCACACTCACTAGCCCCTTCGATACATCATACATATACTATCCAATCCCTGTCGGTTTGGCCTAAATGTACAAGATAAACAAGGATCAAGACTGAACGAGAGACAGGAGGAGAGGCAGAAGTGTAAGAGGTGTTAATGTTAATCACTGCAATGGGTTAATAATACCCCATCCATTAGTATGTAATGGCCTAAAATTCAATGTACAGTAATGTATTTACTTTCTAACAAATCTTTTAGCTCTGCCCTATGGTGGAGTGCTAATTCCCCAGTGCTACACATTTTAATGTTATGATTTTTCTATTTACTAGTTAAACTAAGAGGCTTGACGTGGCACAAACCTCACAATCATACCAATGGGAGGCTGGTACCAATCCTTGCAATGAAATAACCCATATAATGTCAAGACTAAGACTCCCTTTTGGAGACATTGCTTGTTTTGACCTTCAAATAATGCAGCCACAGCAAAACAACCATGTGGAGTTTAACTATCCTAATCTCAAGTTCCACAAAGAGTCTATATTTGTTTTCAATCACAAGCCAATTACTCTTCATGAAGTAATTGGCTACAGTACGAGACCAACATTCATCACTGGGTCTTAAACAACTTACATTAGATGAAATCTTCCTACCCATGAGTAAACAAAATCTAAAGGCAGCACTTTACCATCCCCTAAACAGTAGTACCTACCCCCTTTCCTCTCAAGTCTACTGGATTAAAGGAGTTAAATTGACTTGTCCAAACACTGGTGTACTGTACAGTCAAAACATCCACATATGCCAACACTCTACAGGTAAACTCTGATACTCCTCTTTAACCAATAAATCCTTAAGGACACGTCCATAGTAAAGTGCAGACTAGAACTTAACATTTTTTTTTTTGCAACGCATAGCGACTTATTGCAGCTGCAACTTCCGTTTCTTCCATAACATCTCCGTAATAAAATATTTAACAAATTTAACCAAATATTTGTTAAATATTAAACCATGGTCAAAAGCAATAGCTTCAAAAGATCATTTTTTTTTTTTTTTTTTTTTTTTTTACATTCCATATTCTAATACACAATTTATTGAATCGGGAATAATGCTTACACCGCCAATATGCCTCGACTAAATATGCTGTTCCATTCGCTATCTGCGACTCCCTCCTGTACTCAAATCGTCACATGCTTCTTTTTTTTTAAATTACTTTTGCGAACTTTATTTTGGTCATAAGCATCACGATGTAGCTCTATTCATTAGCTAAGCTGCGTATAAGCACAGCACACTCAAAAAGCGTCACATGTCATTCAAAGTGCTAGGATGTAAGCCTCAACTAATTCCAAGGTATATTTGTTATGTTTCATGAACCAAGCTGGCAAGGTAAACATTTCAAATTGAAGAAATTGATGGAGCCTTGGTAGCCTTACAACTCTTCATATTATCATCGCACAATGATAACTTATATCTTATAATAAGCCTTCCACGCCATCATACTAATGATTCAGTTACCTCAATGCTACTATCCTACTACCTTCTATGATGGGAAAATATGTATACCGTATACATGTATGCATGCTTAGATGATGTACGATACTAACATTTATAAGCACTAATTCTGTGATACCGGCTTTTAAGACTGACATTGGTGTTTACAAGTACATCAAGTCCAGAAAACTTACTATATGAAATGCGAAATGTCCTCTGTCTTATGTACGTCAATGTATTTTTCTCATGCATTTTTTAACTATTTTGCTTCATCAATATTAAATGCTGAATTAAATTGCGGTCATCATTAAAACATTACATGGCCGTTTCAATCACGAGGCACAGAATTATATTACAGTATTGACGTTATCATCAACACATTTACAACTATCAGAGCCGAGCAACAACACAACATCCCCCTCTATGCTCTGTAGGTCAATGATTCTGCACTAGGTGCTTCAGCGACGACAAGGCTGTATGTACACATCTGTCGGAAACCTCTGGATTGTACTTTAGCTCTTCATTCAGATCTCGTATATAATCTTCCATTGCATTTTATTTTAAAGCTAATTTCAATTACATTTATTCTGCTAATTTGTGTGCACCTTTTCCTCATCTCAGGACATACTCCTACTACACGAAGGTGAATGATTCATGCTGTACTGATATACTGAGAACACATCGTATTCCTGTGTGTGTAAATCAACCACCCAACACCACGACAGAGTAAAAGGCCCACTTTAGTTCGTTAATGTACGCCCAGAGAGCATGATTCCATTGCTATGACCATCGACACCCTCAGCTGACCTGACGTTGTAAGATGACCACTGAAGATGAAGACCCCCTCCCTCCTACTGTCAAGAAGTCACTTGAATCAGCCATGACACCCGATCTGCGGCGTTCCTCTCGGTCGTATACATTTTGGACCGTAGAGCTTTTGTTGATCTCTCTCCGGTAATGTCTCTGGGCCTGATGAATAGAGGAAATAGTTGCTGAAAAAAAAGCACTGCAGAAAACATTGCAAATGTCGACGACTTGAAAATAGTCCCATCTCGCTTGACGTCATGGAAAAGACCATAGTGCGCACATCAAGTATAATTACCTCCTATTGACATTCCTTGCTACATTTCTACGACCGATTCTTTCACATACCTCGCAACTCTTTCCACCACTCACATTGAAATTATATCCTATTAGATAGAAACAACTGAAAATGCCTTCAAAGGATTTAGCCCAAGGGAATATTGCAACATATACACACAACGTAACTTTGTCCCTATTTACACCACGCTTCCACATGATAAGAAGAGACTTTCTTTTGTGCAACTTAAGAAATGGAAAGATTGAAGGATAGATTAAGAGATAGAGAGAGGGGGGGGGGGGGGCAGGTGTATAGAAGGGAACAAAAAAAAGGATGTATAGTTGATAAGGGAGAAGGGGAGAGTTACGGGAGGAGGAGGATAAGAGATGGAACGTGGGGTGGGATATTATTATTATTTTTTTTAACACAAGATACAGCAGTAAAATCTCTTCTGACCCAACATAAACAAATGATGGGGGGTGGGGGGGGGGGAAGGGAGAGATGTTGGCATGAAGGAGAGGGAAAGAGGGAGAGAGAAAATCACATCCAAGGATACCAAGAGTAATAGTGAAGGCAAAACTAAATGACAAGCACTCAAAAGATACAGTAGGAGAGATCACGAGAGACTCGGTAAGCCAAGCATGTAAAAGCCACATTACTTGCTTTTAGTCTTCCAATACACAGTTACTAGATAACACACCTTCGTGAAAACTTGCTGGCTTTTAAGCACACAAGCACAACTATTTGGAAAGATACAAGATAAAAATCTTGAACCTCATATTTACATACAAACAAAATACTTTGAACTCCATCCTTGTCCATTCCTAAGTGTCAAATTCAATCATTATGTGAATTTTTGCATCACAGCTGTCACTTACCCCTTCACCCTTCCTTTGGTATTTGCACATGTGAAGTGAACACCTCTATGTCCAGCATTAATTCCCACACCTCATCACTGCTAACACATTGTATTATTACCTCATCACTAGTATTATGTCTCGTGCCCATTCCATAATGCAATAGTTTACTTTATACAGTATATCTAGAGTGGACACCACCTTATCTCCACCCATTACATCTCTCGGATTAGAATTCGAGGATCCGTCATGGATTCAACATAGAGCTTTTAATATTTTACTCTCGAAATAGAAGTTCACATGTGGATCTTAATCATTATTAATCCCAGTTCCTAAACACACACCTTCCTTGTTCCCAATTATTTTCATCTTTTTTTGGGTACTTTCAAACTTCAGAATAATCTAAAATGCTAAAATTGAACTAGGTCTATATACACTAATGTCACCTCACAAGCAGCCAACATTGTAGGAGCCAAATGTTAGTCAATTTCCCTCATCCCCTTCCACACTATCATCAAGGCTCATGGTATCATGATTCATCAAAACAGCAGTTTTGTTTGAATAAGCTCTTGACAAAATGGGGATACACAGCTTTGTGACACACACACACACACACACACACACACACACACACACACACACACACACACACACACACACACACACACACAGCCTCAGTCATGCAAATTGAGGAAGTATACAGTTATGCAGCACTCAAAATACGTACAAAATTAAATAATTAAAATGACTGACTAAATCTAAGAAAATTAAAGAACATTTCATATTACATCCAAATTTAAAAACAAATTTTTATATAAGGTATTTTGGTTTAGGAATACACAAACTCAAAGCATGATACAGCTAGTACAGAAAATATAATGCAAAATAAAAAAATAAAGTAGTTTTGCCAGTAACAATTGAAGCTACAAACTACTGTAGTTGCATACACTGTTACTCTGAGATACTCGAGTGTCGGCAACTAAAACCCAATGCATAAAGTTAAATTGTAAACAAATAATTAACACAATGGGGGGTTTGCTGGCATGGAGAATGGGGCTCATTTCCTGAACCCATTATGTGCATCTGTAACCCTTTCCTCTACTGCTAACAGGATGGGTGTGAGGGTGCATAGTAAAGAAAGAAATGGAAAATTGCCATGGAGAAGTGTGCGATGACAATGCTGAAAGATGTGTTATACCTCCCGTAAACTACCACAAATGCCGTTTCCTCTACAGCTAGTTAATAGCATACTGTTAGTAACTGACAACGTGCCTTTGGTAATTTACAACATTTATAGGACATTAAGTATCAAAATCGCCAATGGGAAGAAAAACAAAAGCTTTTAATAACTCGAATTTGAGATTTCCAGTGTTTTATAATAAATTTGGCAATTCCGTGACCATTCTTATTTTCAACGACAACCATTTGGTGAAGCACCAACTACACACATTTTGCAGTTTGTCGAACTTGCAAAATAATAAACATTAATATTTAAAGGTAGCCATCCACATTTTATTTAGGATTTATATTAATACTGCAATTTGGTATATTAAATACGTGGATATTTGCATACAAAAATGCCCTAGTAGTACAGTGGCGTTTGTTCTCGACACTCAACCGAGAATTCTGGGTTCGAATCTCAGGCGGAACAAAAATGATTGGGTGCATTTCCTATCACCTAATGCCTCTGTTCACCTGGCAGTAAGTAGGTACCCCAGCAATTAGTCCGTTTGTTGTGGGGTTGCATCCTGGGGGGGGGGGGAGAGTAGTGCAACCTTCGGGGGATGGTGCTCAATATAAACCTAACGTGTGAATACACTCTGGCTGCCTGTCCCTCGAGACAATTAATCATTAGTTACGTAAAATATTGATACTTTATTGGGAAGATTTCTGCTTATTACTGCTCTAATTAGGGTTTGCTTAATGAATTAATGAACTATGTAGGCAAGGTTATCCAGTTATGGTAAATATACAGATGTTAAAATATTTATTAATACTTGCAAAATAATCCTTCATCAATTTGCTTTTATTTATAAATAGATTATAAAATACAGAGTTGTCACCTGATCCAGTTTCTAGTGATGGATCATTGTTAGAAATTTTAGAAGATCCATTGTAGTTTCAGTTTCAAAGCAGGTCCAATAGACTGTACTTCATGGCAGAACAACTATGTAGGATACAAATTGCCCAACTAACATGCATGAAATCAAAATTACAACATTTTGGTCCATCCAGGGGGCCAGATTCATGACGCATTTACGCAAGCACTTACGAACATGTTCATCTTTCCTCAATCTTTGACGGCTTTGGTTACATTTATTAAAGAATTTACAAGCATGAAAACTTCCCAATCAACTGTTGTTATTGTTATAAACAGGCTCCTGGTGCTTCCAAGCTTCCAAGCTGTTTAATAATTGTAAACAAAGCTGCCAAAGATTGAGAAAAGATGTACAAGTTCATAAGTGCTTGTGTAACTGCTTTGTGAATCTGGCCCCTGGACCCTAATTAACATTGACGGTCTCATCTCCCCATACATTCTTAACTGTTAATGTTAAGGGCTCCCCAGGCCGCTCAACAATGTTAAAAATGTTTACAATAATTTAAAGTTCTAATTTATTTGTTGGTTTATAACTATAAATTTGGTGTCAAAATATTTGTAAATGAATTCCCTGGAGAATAGATACAAAAAATAGAAAATGTGTATATATAACATTATGCACAAGTGATGAATATGTGAATGTTTATGTATAGCAATTGGATGATATATTTTAGCATCATCGGGATGTGAAAGTGTTATTACGGCTCAAGTTCAGGATGGGCTAAAATGTCATCAGTCATTTCTTACATACTTTGGATTGTTCCAGCCACATTACTGTAGTTTATTCTCAGAATATTTACATCATCTCAATCTTACAATCAGAATTACTCTCAATTAAGTAAGACCACTTAAATATTTGTTTATTTAATAAAGTCCAGTGTAACTTTTCAAATAGCCGAGACATCAGTCCTGGCAAGGCCATCTATATTAGTATAGTCATTGAGCTGTCCTATAGGGGACCAGGGTCTGAAGTCATCAAACATTTATGTAACCACTTATGAAACCTGTACATCTCTCCTTAATTATGACAGCCTTCTTTACAGTTTAAACAGTTTACGACCTCCAAAGCACTACGAGGTTGTTTTCAATAAAAATAACCCTGGGTTGTGAAGTTCCCAAGGTAGTAAAGTGTTTACATTTATTAAACAAAGAAGCTGATATAACATCTCTGCTGTGCATGTCAAACATGGACGCTGATGCCCTTTCTGAACCTATTTAACGAGTCAAATAGAAATGATTGAAAGTAGTAGTAGGCAGCCATCAGTCTCAGGAGACTATGGAGTTGTGCTCTGGTTGTCGGTCTGGAGTGGTCTCTCCAGGGTGAAAAGCCAGGGAGGTTGATACAGGGAAGAAGCTGTCACCTATGCAGCAGGTCCCCTCTCTCCACGGTGCCAAAAGTTTCCAATGGAAAGGCAAATGCCAATACGATTGGTTCTATCGTTGTTGCAGGAACTGTTAGAACAAGGTTGAAGGCAACAACAAACTGCCCTAGGGACTCCAGCTCCGGAGGTTACCTCGAAGTTGGTAAAAGAAGGCACAGGGACTCCAAACCCAGAGACTGCCGTGGTCAGGGCCGGAGAAGAATGACCCCAGCCTCCTGAAACAGAGCATGGGCCGCACGAGCCCCCAGAGGTGGACATCCAAACCCCGCACCTAGGGGTTCCAGACAGATCGTCACAGCCCCCTGTCACCCGAGGACGGCTTCCTTCATGACCCAGCAGAAGGAAGAGCCAAAATAATTAATTACAATAATTATCATTGTTGCATATAATAGTGTGTGCATATAGTGACACGAATACATTTGAGTATTCAGAAGTTCCACACATTTTATTGTGTGTATTTCTCAAATGACACACTATTGAACAAGATTACTGGGGAAAAAAACCCAGACATTGAAATAAATATATAAAAATACCTTCGCAGCAACTCCTGCCCCAGTGCGGGGCTGGAGAGACTGCCACAGGCCAAATGAATGCTCGTGAATCGTTTGTGAGGCTTCTGGGCTTTACCAAGGCCAAAGTAGGAAAAAATTTGGTGAATTTTTTCCCTGAACACTGAAGAATATCGGCTACACAAAGTTGTGCAGTGCTGGGACTAAGCAAAGCGGTACAGGTTTTGTAAGTGGTTAATAAATGCTTGACGAATACTGGCCGTCATTTTCACGCAATATGCATTTTATAGTCTTCCTTCACTACTGTGCGGATAACTTAAGAATCCCGTTTTCTTGATTAAGGACAAAACGGAATATAAATTCATCATGAGCAAACGAACATCTTTACTCATTTTAAAAGACAATGTACAAACCCAAACTTGAAAAATGTTCATGTATTTCTTTACCATTACCATCCAAAGAAAATGTTTATACTGTATGTTTATTTTAAAAGAAATGAAACCAGTCTTGCCTAAGAGACAGGAGGGGGGGGGGGCACGGAAGAATGTTAAAACTACTATTGCAATTTGTTAAAGTTACCAACACTCGTTTAAAAAACACCAAGAACCAATCAAAGGAGCAGGGAACACATACATACATATGCACATACATGTATGTATATATTACACATATACTACATGTACAGACATTTTCTAGCCAGAACCATCAGACATTTCACCATTTGGCTTCTTGCGAGCCACCGATATATTTTTGCCTGTGTGTAGCTTTATCAATATTCAGTCACTTGCTATCTACCCACACCTAGCCTCACTATCTACTACTCACTTAAATTGTTATCTATCTCTCCAGTACTACCCCCCCTCCCCTCAATATCTACCATCCACCTACCCCACTCACTACTTGCTAACCAATTCATTCATTCATTCATTATCTTGCCCACCACCCACCCATTTATTCACCAACTCTTCCCTAACCACCCATCCATTCATTTGTTCACTGACTTGCCCACACCCTGACAGCTGGTGGACAGCGTTTCGAATTCGTAGTCCTGAGGTTCTGGGTTCGTTCCCCGGTGGAGGCGAAGACAGGCAGGGTTTCTTTCACCCTGTTACCTAGCAGTAAATAGGTCTCCCAGATGCTACGGGGTGCTTCCTGGGGGGTGTATATCAAAAGAGAGGCCTGGTCGAGGACCGGGCCGCAGGGATGCTAAGCCCCGAAATCATTTCAAGATAACCCATTCATTTGTTCAGTGATTCGCCCCCACCCATTATTCATTCATTCATTCACTCCCTCCCACCTACCCACTCATACATACACAGATTATTAACCTTGACTTAATTCATCCATTTTCACACACATTCACTCACTCCAGCATGCAAGCACACTCGCTCAAACACACACACATACATACACACACACACACACACACTGAAGTGCACGCACACAAGGGAACAGGCATCAATAGTATGCCAGACTAACAGTGTATACTCTGTTTACCGTATTTGGTACCAGACATAGACTGGCGACTTTCATTTAAGTGAAAACTATTACATTCGTGTAATACAGCTTTACTGAAGATAAACAAGAACAGACGCCAGTCCACGCTGCAACAACTAGTAACAATTAGAACACAAAACACCAAATACGTCTTGTACCTTATGTGCCCATACCTGCGCCATACGGGCCTCAATCTCCTGCTCCTGTTGCAGCGCTTTCACAAACGCAGCTTTTAGGCGGTTCGTGTGTTCCTGCTTGAGGGCTTGCTTGATATTAGTCGTGACGCACAATTCACACACTACCTTCACGTCTCTTCCATTCTCGCCCTTAACTGTAAAGGAAGCAATTGTTACACAAAACACAGCATATATGATCAAAAAAATAAAGAAAGATTAAATCTTAAAAAGCCAGGTGAAAAAACATTTAAGCCATTTCTAATGGGGTAACAATAAATATTATCAAAAGTTAAGAAAAAAAAGCTATTCAATAGCGTTAGGATTAGCCAGATTGTGATGAATACAAGAGCCTACAGCCTGCTGTTTGTCACAGTCCTTACTGAGCAAGGGATCACCAGGATAGCTCACCCACAGACCAGACTGCAGAAGTAGAACAACTCAAAACTTGACAATAGGCAATATGCTTAAAAGTCCCCCATTTAACCATTTATATTCAATCATTACCCCATTTCCATCGTTCCATCGTCCATCGCTTCAGACCTGAAGAAATGTAAGAGCTTGATGGAAAATGAATGACCAAAAACATGCATCCTGTCCAGCAGCAAATACTGTACTGTGCAGGCGATGAGTCACAATAACGTGGCTGAAGTATGTTGACCACACACCACACTACAAATTGAAGGGACGACGACGTTTCGGTCCGTCCTGGACCATTCTCAAGTCGATTGTGAAGGGACGACGACCAAAACGTCGTCGTCCCTTCAATTTGTAGTGTGTGGTCTGGTCAACACACTGTACTGTACTTTATACAGAGAAAAAAATGCTGCAGTGGGAACCATCTACTCATTTATTTAACCACCCAACTGCGGGTTGTGCCATTTTTTTTTTTAATTAGGCCATATTTTCATGTTCTTTAATGTTTTCATCACTCTTTGTGATTTGAAATGAAAATGGTTGAGTTTGGAAACATTTTGACATTACCATTAGCTGAATATTTACAAAAACAACAAAAATGTCCTTAACCCTTGCACTACACACCTGTTTTTTGGCAAACATTTCATGGTGCAGTTGTTAAGGACATATGTTTTTTTGTATTTATAAATGTTCAGCTAATGTTAATGTCAAAATGTTTCCAAACTCCATTTTTATTTCAAATCACAGTGATGAAAACATTAAAAAACCTTAAAATATGGCCTAATTAAAAAAAAAATCACACAACCCTCAGAGCGCCTTAAGGTGCTTTGTGCAGTGCAGTGGTTAAGGGACTGGGAGCTCAAAAATGTCAAAATATGAAATATAGTATAAAATGTTAAACAAATCTAACGTTACACACAGAAATCACAATAGCACGATATATAAAATGAAAAACACAAGGGTTGTGATGAGGGTTCGAACCTACGTCCGGGATGATCCCAGACGTGCCTTAGTCGACTGCGCCACGACGTGGTAAAAGAATTGCAGGCCGGAGTGCTACATGACCTCACGAGGATCCCGCAGCTTCTTCGAAGTGCAAACCGGGGTTTCACACAATTCCCCCATGCACCCGGGCTCTGTTTTACTATGTAGTGCAGTCAACTAAGGCGCGTCTGGGGATCATCCCGGACGTAGGTTTGAACCCTCATCACGGCCCTTGTGGATTTGTTAAATCTAACGTTACTTGGCATCAGTGTCGTGAAATTTTCATACCAATTTGTTAAGAAATACATTTTATATGAATTAAAATACAAATGTTTGCAATTGGTACTGATAACACCACCACCTAGATAGTGGAGCTCATAGATAATGCAGTGATAAAGAGATGGAAGCACCCGACCAATGCACAAAGAAGAAAAGTAATAGTAAGGAAGGTCCACAGAGTGGATATGCCGCTGGTGCCTTCAAAGATTGCTGATTGCCACCTGGAGGGCAAAATTTCACACAAATAATAATAAGTATATTATTTTGCTGTATTTTATTATATATCATATAAATATATTGCCCAATGCCAATATTTTTTATTTCCACCAATTCTTTTTTTTTTAGGGGGTGATTTTTTTATTTCTTTTTATTTATTGACTTTTGTATTTTTTTCTCCTTTGTTTCTCATCTGATTTTGCTGTGGCTTCTACATTGTGGAGAATGCATACCTGTCACTAAGGATGTCAAGTTGAAACACTGTGGCTTCTACATTGTGGAGAATGCATACCTCTCACTAAGGATGTGAAGTTGAAACAAAATTGGTCAACATGTAAATCAACCACAGGTAGCAGGTAGCAGGGGCCTCGTAGCCTGGTGGATAGCGCGCAGGACTCGTAATTCTGTGGCGCGGGTTCGATTCCCGCACGAGGCAGAAACAAATGGGCAAAGTTTCTTTCACCCTGAATGCCCCTGTTACCTAGCAGTAAATAGGTACCTGGGAGTTAGTCAGCTGTCACGGGCTGCTTCCTGGGGGTGGAGGCCTGGTCGAGGACCGGGCCGCGGGGACACTAAAGCCCCAAATCATCTAAAGATAACCTCCAGATAAGCAGAACATGACTTAATTCTATTTGGCCGAGTTATTCACAGATTTCAAACTATTTTCTTTCTCTCTTTAGGTTGTTTATGCTGAATGGGAACCAGATGAGCTCTTTATCACTTATATAAAGTATACTTATATACCCCCTAACCCATTATCATTATTATATATTTTGCTTTTTTAGCGGTTATTTTATCTTGACTTCATTTCAACACACATTGACCTACAACTTTCACATTCAGGTACGAATGCCAAGCAATATAAGCAGTCAAGTATTTCGCAGTCTCCGTGGTGTAGTGGTAAGACACTCGCCTGGCGTTCCGCGAGCGCTATGTCATGGGTTCGTATCCTGGCCGGGGAGGATTTACTGGGCGCAATTCCTTAACTGTAGCCTCTGTTTAACGCAACAGTAAAATGTGTACTTGGATGAAAAAACGATTCTTCGCGGCAGGGGATCGTATTCCAGGGACCATAGGATTAAGGACTTGCCCGAAACGCTACGCGTACTAGTGGCTCTACAAGAATGTAACAACTCTTGTATACATCTCAAAATATTTATTAAAACTAACAAGATATGACATTTCCAACTACTATATTTATTGTCGAGAAGTTTACCTTCATTTTTCTGTATGAACAGGATTTTCAACTTTGAGACGCAGTTAAAAATTCAGTTTCCGAGTGATTCTCGCCATTTTAATATATGTGCAAAGTTTTTAGTTCTAAGGTGGCCACAATAGTGTATATTCAAACCCATAACCTTGGGAGTTATACATTTTTGCGTCTAAATATTGCGCATATTTTGAAGGTCACGTTGGCTATTTTTTTTTACAGTAAACTATACTCTCAAACTAAATTTTATATTGATGAAAATGAACATTATATGCCATTCTAAGACCATAATGAACAAAATAAAAATTGGTGACATTTTAAATAAAATAAACTACGTAATTTAAAATTGTGAAATTGTCAATTTTTCTAAATATTTTATTAAAAAAAAAAAAATCTATTCATTTTATGATGTTGATTCATTAGGAAAAGCTGGAGCATTTACCATGTAGATTATGCACAAAATATTTGTGTGTGTTTGAGGAAGGTTGAGAAATTGGGCACCCGGCCCCTTAACAACTGCACCAGGAAATTGTCCCCAAGATTACATGTGCAAGATAACCAAGATAACCATAGACATTATCAAGATAACCATAGACATTATCAAGATAACCTCAATATAAGTACAGATGAGTGCAATGCAGGGCTTAACAAGGCCGCATTTTAGCAACGGTCAGTATGGAGGGCCAAGAGCCTCGAATAATTGACTCACCTTTAGATTTCAGCGAAGCCTTATCCCACTTCCAGGCTGGGGTAAAGTCGGTGCCACACTGCGTACAGATGAAGGGTGTAGGGTGGGGGTCCGACATCTTGCCATTTAAGAGGATATGTTCCACGCATTGCTCCAGACCCAACAAGTATATAAATTCTGTGTTGTTTGGGTTCGGGATGAAGTGCATCTCGGGAGGTGGTGGTTTAGGTGGCGGAATCTTGATGAAGATCGAAAAACAAATTAGACGACATCCTACACTTGGTCAGGTCTAAAGAAATTAATCACTAGACAGCTGCAACAAGTTCAGGATTAACAATAGCCCAAGTTAACATTGTTTATATTACCACGCTTGAAATTTTTTAATAAAGTTTAAATTATCAGCACTTAATTGATCTTCTCCTTAAAGCTTAGTACTGTGCTAAAAGTACTTAGTACTTCATATCGTCTCACCCTGAGCAATGTCTTTTCCAGCTGCTTGCGAAGAGCAAGACGCGCCGCCGCTTGCCTTTGGGCAGGTGTGTGCGTGTCTTCCATTCTGTTGCTGCTGCTGTTGCTGTTATTGCTGCTCCCACTACTGCTCACAGGCTAGTTATCATAAACAAAAACATTGTAACAAAATGGTGTAAACTAAAACCTTAATATCACAAAAGAAATTTATCAAAATAAAATAAGAGATGTAGAACTTCAAAAGAAAGTAAGATACAGTACTTTCATAAAAAAAACAAAAAAAACAAAGAAAACAAAATACAACGCAGTACCTCTGAAATGTTGGTCCAACATGGACAAATTAAATACGAAATTAACACAAAAATATACACAAACTTTATCTCCATCTCAGGTCTCGACAAGTCGTAACATTAATTAAAAATTGTCAAGTCTGAAAAACTGATTTTATAATAAATTGCAGGATAATCAGTGCAATACCAGAATTAACACAAGTTTTTTTTCTGAAATACACATACTATACACATCAAGACAAAGATTTATCATGAATATTTATCTTCTACCCGCGGTTTACCTTTCCACGATTCTGAGGGTCATCGTGCTTTTTATTTACATAGAACAATAGAATTGTTCTGCTTCTCTGATGCTTTTTTTGAAGAGAAAGAAAAAAAAAAAGGTATAATTACTGTAAGAGATAGAAATAGGTGATAATGAATGGACACAAATTCAATATCAACAATATCGGCAATTATTGGGAGACTTCTTTAAAAGCGACTAAATTAGTGCATGAATACCAACGTTAACTTGTAGACGTCAGAGACGATCTGTATGACAGGACGACGGCCTAAATAGCAACCAATGTGCTATTGTCCAAGGTATATTTATACCTATGCCCTAGAATGCTATCACATTTACTCTTGTGAATTTATTAATAGTAAAGTAAATCGAGTTGGTTTCCACAAGTTATTCATAACAATGTTCTCTCATGTTTTTCAAACGCATATTTACAAACTTACACCTGTGCACTTTTATAGTGTTGTCGCGCGTGTGGAACAAAACTGCCCACACTATGTTTAATTCCCCCATTATATCACAATTATCTTTTCTGGTTCCACTTTTCTTCTAGAGGCCTGGTCAGAGACCGGGCCGGGGAAACCCTAAACTTCAGAATCACTGCAATGTAGTGTGCCCCCCCCCCCCCAGCAGTGCACCTGCTCATAGGTACATTAGGAGGGCGACGGAAGGGGGGTACAAAAATGGTCATTTTACTTGCCATGGGGTCTGTATGGGAAAGGCCAGGGTTACAGGAGAAGTATAGCTACCGAGTCATCCTGGCTATCTCCTCCATTGGTTTTTGTGGGTAACTGACAGTGGGATGCAGTTGGGGTTTGGTACACTACTGGTAAACACTACCCTCTACTTAAGTTGTTGAATGATTCCATTTCAGGTCCTGGGTACCAACTCTCAATCTTCAATATACTGTAGTATCATTGTACATTATACTATATACTGTACATTATCCGTAATGTATCGCTGAACAAGTCCGGTGGGGGGGGGGGGAGCTGGGTCATCTCCTTTCAACTTAAAAGAGTATGGAGCCTGATTTCACCATTTCACTCCCTAGTTCATTTGATATCTTGACAATTGAAAATGTATTTCTTGTCTCTATGACTCTTCTAAATAGAGCAAGAGATGGGGGCAAGAGTTGGAAGCAGAGACTTGAAGAGGAGGGACATTCAGGCAACATTTTTCTTACACCTGATGCCTCTGTTCAACCGGCTGTAAACAGGTACAGTACCTCGGAGTTAGGCAACCATTGCCGGTTGCATCCTGGAAAAGGTCTTGCATCCCTCCCTGCATCAGGGAGGGATGCAAGTCAAATATGCTTCCTATCCCCAACAATGAGAACCCATAAACCTACAAGAATACTTATGAAGATATTAGAACTACAGTATATAGCTTACAAAACAAGAAATTATACAAACTTCAGCAACTTGTGCTAGCTTGTTTGCATGTATTTCATAAATTATGGCCCCCACTTCCCCCCTTCAAAAAAATTTATATGCATTCCAAAAAAATTGTTATTGTATAAAAAAACAAGATATAAATATAAAAGATGAATAAGCAAGGAATAACAGCTTTAGCCATCAATTAAATTTTCTGATGGAGCATCATACTTTTAAAACAATTTGGCAGTTCTGCAGCAGCACTGCACTGTCCCAGGGTTGTGAGACTCTTGCAGCATATCTTACTGCTGTATGGAAACACACACTCACTCTTAGCCCAGAAAACATCTTGTTAACCCGCAAACAGCTCGCCCAATTATAAGTCCTACATCGTCATGCACGTGACAAAAAATGGTTCACCAAACTAATGCAGAAAACATCACAGGGTTAAAATAGAGAGTAGAATCAAAAGGACAAAAACCAGACATGTTAGAAATAGGATGAGAAAATATTGGGGGAGTATGACGGAATTGATCCCGCATCCCTAGACTCTCCTAGCACACCCATCACCACCTAAACCAGACTGAGCTCAGGCAGTAGTGACTGACTAGCGAGCCCAGGGACGAGAGTTGGAGCCAATCGTACTCCTCTCAATATTTTCTCGAGAGCTGCATCACGTTTGTCACGTCACCGAGCGAGAAATATGGCAAAGAGGGAGAAAGACTAATTTTTTTTTTTAAATATGCTAATATGAACAATAAATGACTAATGAATTTATTAATACAAAAGCTATTGTACATCACATCCTTCATAATATTTCATATATTTTAAAATAAAGCCACACCTCAGAATTAAAGGATACGAGAGTACAGTACAAAATAATAAAAATCTTTTAGGCATCAACGGCTACCATTTTCAGGAAATTGTATGACATTAAAAACATTGACAGCGGAGATCACAAAAGTTCATCAAAACAACTTCAACACATACAATAAATAAAAATAATTACTTGAAAAATTTATTTTTAACAATGTAATCGTCTATAAATTTAATAATGTAAAGTTAATTCCCTGAAAGTGAAAACAGTGTGTTAGGAATTTACCACTCAAGCATTGTGCAACAAAAGGCACAGCCGAGGCGGCAATGAGTGCATTTGTGCCTGAAAATGAAGCTGGATTACAATGTGGAATGACCACAACACAAGGGAGAGGTGGGAGGGGGGGGGGGGGGGGCGGCGAGATGATGAATGAGAGCGGTGATATCCGATGATGAGGTCAGCCAAGCAGAAATGGAAAAAAAGTGTCAAATTACTAAAAATGTTAAATGATTAGCGTATGTCTGTAAAGCATAATATACCAATGGAAAATGGCCTAACTAGGAATTAAGACTAAACATTGTGATTTAATTAATAAAAATGTTAATAACTGACTTGTAAAGCAACATTGGTAAGTAAAAAGAATGGGGAAAGATAACCTAGACATTGAGAATCATTTCGAACAGTTTTATTTTATACATATATTCAAGAGTCCTGTGGCACAGTCATGTTGCGACTGTAAGGCAGTTTTATTTTATACATATATTCAAGAGTCCTGTGGCACAGTCATGTTGCGACTGTAAGGTCCCGGGTTTAATTCCTGCAGTTTATACAACTTTTTCTTTCACCCAATTCCTCTGTTCACCGAGTAGTAAATTGGTACCAGGGAATTTGGCAGCTATTGCGGTGCGCTTCTCGTCTCCAAATATGGGAAAGTACTAAACAATAGTTGGTAAATCTCAATTTCTATTATTTAGGTGTTCACTTTCCAATATTCAGAGAAAGAATAAGATCGTGTTTTATAACATCAGAAATTAATTATGAAGCTTTTATCACTACAATATATTCAAACGAAGCCTTATCTTGTCTTGCCTTCTGGATTACTTGAGGCTAATTGCACACCAGTTTAATTAAAGGAATACTTAGCCAGAGGGCATGAGACTGGTTGCTCAGTGAAGTAAGGATGATGTGACCAAACGTGTTGTGGTGGAGTGGCGAAAAACCACAATTGATCAGTTATTAATTCCCATGACTGTTCTTTCAGCAATTCAAGAACAAGGGGTGCAAGAATGGCTTGCCAGTTTGTAAAGGTCTGCGCACACACAACATTTTTGAGAGACACTGGTATAGAACAGCCTGGTTAATCAGACCCCCAACCAGGCCACAGGGACGTCAATCCTCGGAATCAACAACGGGTAATAGACAGGTTAGACGAATTGTTAATGTATTGTTGCATACAGTTTACTTTCATTACTCCAAATAATTTTTCAGCATTTACATTCGTATTTCTTCCACTGTTACTGTTTTACGTTCTTGTATGTTTGTACTATATTTAGTTACATTATATAACATTTCTATTTGATCAATTTGTAAACTTTCAGTGCTTAGCTATCTGTGCCTATGGGGAAGTGAGGTCTAGCTCCATGTTCCGCCTCTTAGCTGATTATACCCGACCTGCTAATTACGCCTCTTAAGAACATTGTGCGTTTAAGAACATTGGGGCCTATGCAACACTTTCTAACTTCAGAATTGCTTTTAAATAAATGGATGGTGAAATACTAAAGAAATTGTTCACGACTTTTGTTAGACCAAAGCTGGAATATGCAGCAGTTGTGTGGTGCCCATATCTTAAGAAGCACATCAACAAACTGGAAAGGTGCCAAGACATGCCACTAAGTGGCTCCCAGAACTGAAGGGCAAGAGCTACCTACAAAGAGAGGTTAGAGGCATTAAATATGCCAACACTAGAAAACAGAAGAAAAAGAGGCGATATGATCACTACATACAAAATAGTAACAGGAATTCATAAAATTGATAGGGAAGATTTCCCGAGACCTGGAACTTCAAGAACAAGAGGTCAAAGATTTAAACTAGCTAAACACAGATGCCGAAAAAATATAAGAAAATTCACTTTCACAGAGTGGTAGACGGTTGGAACAAGTTAGGTGAGGTGGTGGTGGTGGTGGAGGCCAAGACTGTCAGTAGTTTCAAAGCATTATGTAACAAAGAGTGCTGGGAAGACGGGACACCCGAGCTTAGCTTTCATCCTATAACTACACTTAGGTAATTACACACACATACGAGAATCAACGTACATAACATCAGGCCTAATACCATAGGTGCAGGGAAAAAAAAAAAAAGTCAGTAGCCGACATACTGAT